AAAACAAACCTAAACTATGAAAACAACATATTTATAGACTTAGGGTAAATATGAGAGGACCCACTCCAATTAGGAGGGAAACAACGTAAAGGAAGCGCCAACTGACCCTCCTTGACCGATCCAAGTCATAAACTTTTACGACAAATAACACATGGCACTATCTCCATTCTGCGGCCCATCCCCTTCAACCGTCTCCCGCTTCAGCATCAACTTCCCACTCCTGCTTTTGTGCTCGCGTTGTCTCGCATCAGAAGTGATGTTTCCGCATCAACAGATCGCCTCCAAGATACAACACTCTTCTTCCTCCTCCCTAGGTTGCTCGGCTAGGGTTTCCTCCTCGACTTCGCTCAAGAATCTTCTTTGCTCCTTCCTCTTCTTCCTACTTTCTTGCTTAGTTAGGGCACGACCCCTCCTTCCTCGTCATTTCTTCCTTCTCCCTTCACTGATTCCAACTCCCGCTCTCTCAATTTCTTTTGGTTCGAATGGAGACAAATGAAACTTAAGTCTAGCAGTAGCGATTTTTATCCCACACTGTAGATTCAATCATTATTATTTTTTTATTATTAAAAATTCAATTATTATAGGTCAAATATTGGCTTTATCAATTATGTAAGTCTGCGAATGCTCAATTTCCCTTAATTTATATTTTTTTCAAGTATTTTATAATTTCCTTCACATGCATGGCCCACGGAAGATCATGTAAGGGAGAGCTTCTAGCATGTTATTAGGATGGTCATGTAAGGAAAACATAAGATAAGGTTGGTAATATAGTTAAACAAAACAAAGAGAAGACAAGCATGAAGACCAATCCAACCACTCCCTTAAATTGCCAAATCAATCAGATTTGACCCGAGGAGTGTGTAACTTGGCTAGGACTATCCGAAAAAGCCAAATTAATGGATTTTAGTCTCCAACCATCGACCCATCACCACTCTCATGAAGAAACCTTCATATTTCATAGACCACACTTCTCACTCCATCTAGAGCTGTAAACAAGCTCGATCGAGCTCAAGTTTGGCTCGTGTCCACCCCATTCTTCCTCTTCAACACCAAATTTTCTTGATTGCAACCCGGTACCACCTCTCCAAAAGTCCACCCCTCACTTCCCCCACTTCATCAATTCCTTAAAAAGGGACTCCACTCAATGGATTTCACTTAGCCGCCCCCATCACAAATATAATATCACATTAATATATTATATTCTAATATCTTGGCTCAACTCATGTTCAACTATAGGCCAAAGTGTTGTTTCCTTTAGCCATAGGGATTTTGAGATATCTGGTTTTATAGATTTGATCAAAAAACATTTCTGAAAAATAATACCCCACACAAATTAACAAAAATGATAGCATGATACTGATACTGGTAACCAGCAGCTTGCACAAATTTTAATTGTCAATTTCCTTCCAGTGAAGAAGGAAGGTCCGTCTTGATAAGAGATTAACAAAGAGTTGGGATAATAAAGAAAACTGCTCACTTAAATCAGATAATTGTGGCTGCTCCTGTTACCACTAGTAATGGGGAAATTATTAAATGTGTGCGATACCAACTGGATGGCTCTCATTTAAACCATTCTAAATTTCTCATTTTAACCCAAGAAAATTGATGATCTTCGATTATATTTGTTCAAAATTTGAACAGATCTATGAAGTCAAACCTAATATTTGCTTATGAAATGAAGAATGATCTTAAAGATAGTAGTAATTCAAGCAACATAGAATCAGAGCATAAGTTCTACCTCTCGTAGTGTACTGAGAACTGGAATAACAAGAAAATCATAAATGAAAGTCGTGGCCACAAAAATGCCACCAGGGCGAAGAATCCTGCTGATCTCTGCAACCTAAAAAATGATCAAAATTTAAATCAGATTACCCAAAAAGTTTACTTCTGACCTAAAAAGCAGAAAATCATAAGTTAACAATGCAGAGTTTTTAAATGGTAGGCAGCCGAGGAACAAAATCAAAGGTTTCAGGAAATTCAAAAGTTAGACAAAGCAAAAATTTTAAACAGTACAAAGCTAAGGAATATAATAATGGATTTCAGGTATCTAAAGAAACTCATTTTGCTATTTTGGTTCTTTCGTGTGATTTTATGAAGTAAATAAGAAATGGAATTATCTACGTTATACTTCAAGTACATTAGTTTCTTTGAAGAATTACATACAAACCACTCAATTCTTATGTATTTACATATTTAACATCTAAAATTCAATTTTTACTTATGTACCACAATACTTATGCATAAAAATGTGTATCGCTTTTCAAAATTTAAAATAGTGATATTTTTTATGTGATGTGAAAGATTTAGGCGGTATACATGTAAAAAATAAAGTTTAGTTGTTAGATATGTAAATACCAAAGAATTGAGTGGTATGTAAGTAAATGTCCCTTATCGACAAACAGAGGGATTAAATACTCACAGCAGTAGAAGGTGATGGCCAGCAATGCAATGCAGCACCCGCATGCAAGCTGTCTATGGAATTTGAAACAAAAGGAAGCCTGGAGATATCAGCCCTGACCAAGCTCAAGTTCCTGGAAGATAATTTAATAAGATATCAGATTCTCGATGTAAGTGCACCTCTATATAATTCATAAATATGAATAAAAACGAGTATCTTTCAAAATAAAAGAGAGCTTCTGATAGAAGAAAGGGAAATTTACATATATACCACACAATTCTTATGGATGTATATGCTTAACACTTAAAGTTTGATATTTACATTTATAACATCCTAGTGATATAAACCCAAGTATAAAAGGGTGCACTTGACTTTTAAGAAGTTAGTATAAGTGATATTTTTTATGTGATGTTAAAGATTTGAATGCTATGAATGTAAATATTAAGGTTTAGGTGTTAGATATGAAAATAAATAAGAATTGTGTGGTATGCATGTAAATGCCCCAAGAAAGGGAAATTTACAAAGAAAATGTGAAACTAACTCTTTTGGTATGCCCTCTTGCTTAATGTATTCATAGCACTGCCGCAGCATATTCTCGGAGTAGTCCAAAGCAACTACATGCGAATAAATTCCACTTCTGGCGAACAACCTTGAGAATAGTCCACTCCCACAGCTTGCATCTACAATAGTTCCTCCAGTTGTAGGCTTAAGGTACTCTTGGGCCATCTCAAACTGTATCGCATTGAAAGATATACAAAAACAGTTTACAAAAAATATCATGAAACCTTAACAAGATATTGGGAATTTTTGAAAAATTGAACGACAATTATCAAGTAAAAAAGGGAAATTTACATACAAACTGCACAATTCTTGTAACATCCAAAGTTTAATATTCACACTTATAACACCTTGGTGGCAAAACCTATGCATGAAAATGTGCATGTCACTTTTTAAGAGATGGTTGCTGTGGTATTTTATGTGATGATGAGGATTTGAGTGGCATGCAAATAAATATGAATGTTGAGGTATTAGTTGAATACATGAGAAGTGTGCGGTATGCAAGTAAATCCCCCAAAAAAAAACTGTTGACAAAAATCTATCACATAAGATTTTGATTGACTACAGGCCTTCCTTAGAAAAATGGTTCAGATGATGCATGGAAAACATTAGATCAGCTTGTCTAATAATGTACTGAAAAAACGTGGCAGAATTTTTTTACACTATAAAAGCTCGATTTATGTCTATAGAAGGGAGCACACTAACCTCTCTTTCAGTGCCGGGGAAACCATCCAAAATGAAACTTTGACGCCAACCCCTCTCATACAGAAATGACACCAAAGGATTCCTGTGCCAATCAAAATAAAACAAGATTTGAGTGAATACATGCACCAAAGAGTATTGCAATTAAACAAATACTGGCGAACTATTTTAACATATACGACAATGTGCTGCCCATATCTTTCTTCAAAGGGAAATTAACATATGTAGCACATAATTTTTATGTATTTACATATCTCACACCAAAACTTTTATATTTACACACAATAGTACTTTTGTGCTTTAAACCTATGCATGAAAAGGTGCTTTAAACCTATCCATGAAGAGAAGTATTTGACATTTATAAAGTGATATTACATGTGACATCAAAGATTTGAGTGCTATGGGTGTAGATATGAATGTTTAGGTGTGAAATCTGTAAATACATAGGAATTGTGTGTTGCACAGTGTCCAATAGGGCAGTGAAGCTGTCCTACAATATCTTAATTCTTCCAGCAATGCTTGATATAATTAGCAAGCATAAGTGCCAAAAAAGAGAGTAGCAGTTTTCAAGGGATCTCTTCTACCAGAAAATTTTTTTAAAGTACATGATCTGCTTATCCCAATTTAGATTGGCTTTATGAACTATTTTTCTCCATTCATTCCTACTAAGTTCTAAGTGCTAAACCTATTCATTCCCTGATACCGGAGTTAGCCAACAACAATAGAAAAACACAAACATTATTACTGAAATCCAATAGGGAAGTACAACCAACAAACAACTTGTGGGCAAATTATTTACCCATAACATAGAAAACCTGATATTACATACTAAGCCAGTGTAGCAAGTCCACACAAGAATAATCCAAATGAGAATCATCTAGAAGCAATGGATAGAATCCTGAGATAATTGAAGATGGCTCATGGAAATAAATTGCTTTCAAAAGAATTGAAAATCGTGAGATTAGCAGATGCTATTTGGGGTGGAGAGATAAGTAAAAAGAAAATTAACCATTGGATATTGTACATACGTCTCAGGCAATTTTATCATGTGGGGAAGCAAAACGTAAGATGTTTTTTTCTCGGAGTAGTGCATAATTTAAATATTGCACTATTGCACTAACAATACGTGAGTGAATATGGATTTAAAAACTAATAAGAGAGGTTAAGGTTGAGACAAAAAAAATAATAAACTTGTTCAGTGATAGCCAAGCAGCTATTAAAATAGCTAAAAAACAAGTGCCTTATGACAGAACAAAATATATTGATTGACCGACACTTCATCTCAGAAAAGATTAACAATGAAGTTTTTTGACTCAGTTATGTTCCCAAGTGACTTCTAATTGTTGATATTCTCATCAAAGCACTACCAGGCTGAGTCATGATGAATTGAAATCCAAGCTTGATTGTATAATATAAACAACCCAACTTGAAGGGGAGTGTAGGAAAGTGCAAATCCGCATTATGAAGGAATACATTTCCTTCTCCATGAACAAATTCCACTAATGGTGTTTCTTTTATTATATTTCTTAATTTTCTATTCTTCCCTATTTGAATGGATTCCTATGTTGTTGATACCAAGATATTTAATGTTATAAGAGGTTATGCTCCTCAAGAAAGTTTAAATATAATTTCAAAAGAAAAATTTTGGAATAAACTAGAACAATTAATACAAATGATACCCTTTGAACAAAAATTTTTTATTGGAGAAAATTTAAATGGACATGTTGGTAGAGTGGTAAAAATTTTAGAAATATTCATGATGGCTATAGTTTTGGAGTGATTAATGAAGAATATAAAATCATATTAGAATTTGCTTTAGTGTATGTTTTGTTATTGTTAAACTTTATTTAGGAAAAGAGAAAAGCAAACTATTGTTCATAAAAATGGATTTAATAAAACATAAATTAATTATTTTTTTATGAGAAAAAGAGATTGTCCAGAGTGTAAAGATGGTAAGGTCATTCCAAGTGAAACTTTAAGTACTCAACGTCAATTATTAATTTTGGACTTTAAGATGAAGAGTTATAAGATAAAAAATAATAGGAAACATTATTGTAGAATTAGATAGAGCACCTAAAAGACAGATAAAATTAAGAAAAAGAGATTGTCCAGAGTGTAAAGATGGTAAGGTCATTCCAAGTGAAACTTTAAGTACTCAACGTCAATTATTAATTTTGAACTTTAAGATGAAGAGTTATAAGATAAAAAATAAAAGGAAACATTATTGTAGAATTAGATAGGGCACCTAAAAGACAGATAAAATTGCTTTTATGAGTAAACTTCAAGAGTTTAAAATTTTGGATATTAATGAAGAAACGAATTCTATGTGAGATAAAGTAATAAGTAATATTAAATAAGAGGCAAAAGTTATATTTGGAAAGTCAAAAGAATTTTTTTTTATAAATAAATATAGTTGGAGGTGAAATAACAATATGTAGGAAAAGATAAAATATAAGTTGCTATAAAAATTAGTTAAATATAAAAGCATAGAGAACTAGAAAAAAATATATGGAGGCACGTAAGGAGTCGAAGAAAAAAAATTTGTGACACTAAAAATTTTGTCTTTAGTTATCCTTACAATAGATTGGATATTAAAAATGGTGAAAATATATATACATATATAAACTGGTCAAACAAAGAGAAAAGAAAAATAAAGATTTAAAAGTACTTTTCTTAGAGAAAGTTATGCAATGTGGGTGAGTGAGCTATTTTGATAAACTTTTCAATTTAGTTTATGAAAATACAACTGACCTTAGTGATCTCAATATCATTAATAAAAATAAAATATTTTATTTTCACCACATTAGTAAAAAAGAAGTTGAGAAGACTTTAAGGAAAACCAAGGGTGACAAATCATCAGAACATAATGATATCTCAATTTAAGTGTGAAAATATTTAGGAGACTTGAGAGTTTTTTTGGTTGACTAAACTCTTTAATATTACTTTCAAAACTAAAAAGATTCCTGAATAGAAAAAGACTATTTTGATCTCCTTTTGTTAAGAATAAAAGGGATGTACAAGAGTGTGCGAATTATAAAGGAATTAAGTTGATGTGTCATACTTTAAAATTATGCAAAAGGGTAATTGAACATAGGTTAAGACGTGACACAGATTTCTTATAATCAGTTTGGATTTATATCGGGTAGGTCTACAATGGAAGCTATACATTTATTGGGAGGTTTGATGGAAAAGTACGGAGAGAAAAAGGAAGATCTACATATGATTTTTATTGATTTAAAAAAAAAAAACTTATAATAAGGTTCCCAGAGAGTCCTTTGGAAGGTTCTAGAGAAGAAAACTGTTGATATGACTTATATTCAAGCAGATCTACATATGATTTTTATTGATTTAAAAAAAAACTTATAATAAGGTTCCCAGAGAAGTCCTTTGGAAGGTTCTAGAGAAGAAAATTGTTGATATGACTTATATTCAAGTCATAAAACAAATGTGTACTAGAGTTGTTACTTGTGTTCGAACAGAAGGAGGATTGACCAAGTATTTTTCTATCACAGTTGAATTACATCAGGGATCGGCTTTAAGCTCATATCATTTTGCTCTAGTTATGGATGCTTTTACTGGACATTTACAAGAGGATGTACCTTGGTTTATGCTTTTCACTGATGATATCCTTCTTGTGGATAAGACTAGAAAAAGAGTTGAGAAAAAACTTGAATTATGGAGGTCTATATTAGAGTTTAAAGGTCTTCGTTTGAGTATAACTAAAATTGAATACATGAAATCTACTTTTAGTAGTAGTAGCTTTAATGGCAGAGTTATAGCTATGGGTGATCAAATCATTAAAAGGTATGAATGTTTTAGATATCTCCGGTCTATTGTTCAAAGTGATGGTGATATAGATGAGGAGTTGGTTGGTGGGAGTGGAGCAATGCATCGGGTCTATTGTATGATAGAAAGGTACCGCTTAGATTGAAAGGAAAATTTTATAAGATGGTGGTGAGACCTGCAATGCTTTATGGTGCAGAATGTTAGCCTTTAAAAGAGAAGCATAAAACAAGGTTAAATGTGTTGAGATTAGAATGCTTAAGTGGATAAGTGGCTTGATACTTAGAGACAAAAATGCAAAATGAATATATCCATGATAGGGTTGATGTAGCTCCAAGGGTAGATAAGATTAGAGAGAGTCGTCTTAAATGGTTTTGTCACATTAAACGTCGACCTCTAATGACCAGGTTAGGAGAGTAGATGTTTTAGATTAGGCTTATGTTATAAAAAGCTGAGGTGGACCTCAAAAATTTTAGGCATATCGTATAAAAATGATCTTAACCTATTAGAATTAAACGAAAATATGACTGTATTAGACAAAAATGGAGAAAAATGATTCATGTAGCCAACCCCACTAGTGAGATCGCCTCGACGCTCAGTTCCTATGTCACTGCCCTTGCCGAAGACTTTCCTAATCCTACTCATGCCCCTCTTTCAGGTTCAGAGTTTGGTTTTGGTATCGGTAAGTCCTGCAATGTTCCACAATCCTTCCACGAAACTCTTAAAGACGGTGGTGATCACACTTTCATTAAAAAGCTTGTAAAAAAAATAAGAAACCTGCTCTTTTTGCTTTGAGGTTGAAACATGTACTCTTGCGTCTTCTTGGTGTTTTGCTCTAGTGGGAAAATTATTTTATGGTCACCCAAACTTGAGATCAAGATTTTAATGCTATGAAGCTATGGGGTAGTTGGAATATTGACTTACTTGACGGTCGACATATACTTATTTAATTGTCACGAAACGGATTACTCGTATTTTTTCTCGTAAGGTAATCAAGATTGACAACCGTTTTATGAAAATCCTGAAGTGGACTGTTAATTTTGATATAAAAGTGGAGTCCACTATCATTCCTGTTTGGATAAAGTTTTCGGGGTTAAAACTACACTTGTTCAACTTAGAAATACTCTACTCCTTAGCAACTGCTTATGGTAAATCTCTCAAGGTTGATAGTCCTACGTTTGCTGTCACCAGACCCTCTGTGGCTTGTGTGTTAGTTGAGAGAGATATCACACAACCAGTTCCGGATGAGGTTTGGATTGGAATCACTCACAACGAGTATTGGCAAAAGTTTGAAATAGAACC